GTCACCTTGGTAGGGGGCCCAGTCAGGGTACCAGAGAGGACAGAGTCTCGGAGCATCTCTTCACGATTCCTGTTGCAAGTGCAGACCCCCCCGCTCAGGTACCTCCCCCACAGCAGCTCTCACTCTCCTACAAGGAGCTGTGGCTCACTTGAGCTCTCTGTGCTCCCCAAAGGGCCAGTCCTGCCCCTGAGGCAGCAGGCCGTCCTCCTCTCTCCGAGCCTGCCATCTCCCCACGCCGAACAGCGTTCTGCACTCCCAGGTTTTGGGACAGCCGGCCTGCTGGCTTTGTGCCTGCCCTTCTTGCCCAGAGCTTCTGGTTCTGTGAGAGCTTCTCCCCGTCTTGGCAGGGAGGACTCCTAAGCCTTCTCTGGGCCTTCTTCCACATTTCCTCCCTGTAGGGAACTGTCTCCGTCTTCCTCGAGCCTGGCGCTGACATCGAGACCAGTCCAGGCGCGGCCGGCTGCGGGTGAGCAGCTGAGAGGCAGTGGTGCCAGTCCTCCAGGAGCACCCCCGGAGGCAGAGCCCTCCCCTGGCAATGCTGGCCCCCAGCAGGCAGTCCCTGTGCTTTTGCCGCGACGCCGTCTCAACCCTGACAGCAGCTGGGCTCCCAAGAGAGTGGCTGCAGCCAGCACCTTAGGTGGACTCCAGAAAGCCCAGTCTGTGCAGAGTCTGGTGCCACAGGGTGAGGAGCCTGGTGGGTTCAACTCCAGGGTGCGGGGAGTATGAAGCGCATGCGCATGCTAGAGGAAGGAGGGCCTGATTTAGCCCTGACGTGCCACTGTGCTTGCCACTGGGTGTCCCTTAGTGGGCATGGGCAGGGCACAGCAACTTCTAGGGAGCTGTGAGCCTTAGTGCCTGGGAAGCCTTCCTCACCACCTGACCTGTGTCTCTCTGGCTTCTCGGCAGATGAGGCCCCTCCACCAGGCACATTGCTCTTACGGGAGATGGAGGCCCAGGAGGGCCTGCGCTCCCTGCCACACGCTGATCACCGTCTGTCTCGGCCTCAGTCCTACCAGAACCCCACCACCAGTTCCATGGCCAAGATTTCCCGCAGCATCTCTGTTGGGGAGAATTTGGGCCTGGCGGCCGAACCTCAGGCTCCTGCTCCCATTCGAGTCTCACCGCTCAGCAAGCTAGCCCTGCCCAGCCGGGCTCACCTGGTCCTGGACATCCCAAAGCCACTGCCCGATCGTCCTACCCTGGCCACGTTCTCACCTGTTACCAAGGGCAGGGCCCCTGGTGAGGCAGAACAGCCTGGCTCCCCAGTGGGCTTAGGAAAGGCTCACAGTACATCTGAGAGGCGGGCCTGTTTGGGGGAGGGTGCCCCTCCCAAGCCTAGGACAGAGTGCCAGGCTCAGCCTGGGCCCAGCAGCCCCTGTGCCCAGCAACTGCCGGTCAGCAGCCTCCTCCGAGGCCCTGAGAACTTGCAGCCCCCGTCCCCCGAGAAGACTCCCAGCCCCATGGAATGCACCAGGCCAGGGGCAGCCCTGAGCCAGGACTCAGGTGTGCACAGCTCCCCAGCTCTCGTCTCCTGCCCCATCCCGTTTCTGCTGTCTCTGTTGTCTGCTCTCTGGCTCCATCCCAATTCTGTGCATCCAGCCTCTGGCATTTTCGTCCTGTCTGTTCCCATCTTGGTCCATAAGTCACACTTCTGATGGTGAGGCACGCCTACCAATCTTCACAATCTCCTTGTGACCCACTTGCCCCTTCACGCCTCTGGCTTCTTGGGCTGGAGCTGGCCCTCCCCTCAGAACCTTGTTTTCTGTGTGGTGTTGGGAAGGAGGGAGGCAAGCCAAGGGGGTGTGATCCTGCGGGTAGGCCTCTCCTGCTCTCAGGGGCCCCTGGGTGGGGAGGCCTGAAAGGGCAGCTTTGCTGGGCCTTACTGAGCTGTATCTGTCCCTCCCAGAGCGAGCAGTGAGCCTGGAGGAGTGCGAGCAGCTTGTGGCAGAGCTCCAGGGCAGTGTGCGCCAGGCTGTGCGACTCTACCACTTGGTACGTGTTGGGCACCCACCGTGGGGGAGACAGCTGAGTAGCCAGAACAACCATAAGGCTCTTCCACTGACGGGTGGGTGGAGCAAGCAAGAACATCTGGGGCAGAGTAGGTGAGGGAGTTAGAGGCCAGGCCAGGCCTCTTGAACCGAGCACCTACTGGTCATCTCTGGAGACTTCCTCAGACTGGAGGGGTAGGGGTGGAGCGACCATATGTCCTAGTTTGCCTAGGACCTGGTTTGTCCTAGGACCATCCCAGTTTATGCCTGTTGTCCCAGTGTAATTATTAATAGTAGCCCTTGTCATATTCAAAAACTGTTTGGCCACCCTAGACATAGGGGACGGTCCAGGAGGGCCTTCTCTGGGGGCAGGCTAGACCCAGGTGGGGTCCCTCCCCTTTATAGATCCACTGACAGGAGGTTCTTCCACTGTTCCTCCGACTCACTTCCCGGGTCTTGCTGCAGGTGGCTGGCTGCAAGACGCCCTCAGCGGAGCAGAGTCGCATCGCCCAGCTCCTCAGAAACACCTTCTCCTCAGTGCGGCAGGAGCTTGAGGCCCTGGCCGGGGCAGTGTTGTGCAGCCCGGGCGGGAGCCCTGGGGCCGTGGGGGCTGAGCAGACACAGGCCCTGCTAGAGCAATACTCAGAGCTGCTGCTTCGGGCGGTGGAGCGGCGCATGGAACGCAGACTCTAGTTCTGGAATCCTGTCCCAAGTGAATGCTCCCCCTATTCCAAACTGTAGCCCCTGCTCCACTCTCCAAAACCTGTGGGGATACTTGGAGTGGCTAGCAGGGGTCAGTGCTCAGAGGGGAAGCGCCTTTTCCAGCTTCCTCATGGGGCCCCTGTATTTATTAATTTATTTCCCTGACTGTTGCCTCACTTTCTTGGAGCTCCTGCCTCCACAGCCCCTTCAGTGGCTCATGCAGGGTAGGTCTTGGATCCTTGTCATCTTGGTGCTGTGAGGAGCAGGAGGGCAGCCTGCCCCATCTGGGGGAAATTGGGAAGGGCTGGCCCTCTCTTCTTAGAAGCCATTTGAAATTACTGCAGGGATCAGCTCCCTGGGGTGGAGCACACACAGGGTATTCGGTGGGGTGGAAGTGAAAGGCCATGTGGTATCAGTGCCCTTCAGCCAACAGCGGAGCTTCACCTCTACCTCCACTTCCCCTCCCACACCAGCTGCACTCTCATGGCTGCCAGAGCAGGGGTTATCTGTTTTCCCCAGTTCCTGGCAGTTCCCAAAGGCAAAACCCTCTAGCCCTCCAGGGCATTCCCAGCCATCAGGAGGCTTGAGTTGGTATCGAGGCCCGAGCCCCCCACATTCCACTCCCATCCCCCCACCCAAGAGAGCCCTAGCATTCTCTCTCTCCCTGTGCCCCCCTTTCTCTCCTGGCCAGAACTTGTGGAGACAGCTGTGGGATGTTGCTGCAGGACAGTAAAGCCCTCTGCTGGGCAAACATAAAGCCCTGGCCTCCTTTTCCCAACCCCTTGGTCTTCCCTGTCTTCCCAACCCTGATCCCCAGCAGGCTGCTAGACCCAGAGGCCACCTTCTCCTTGCATCCTGAGTGATGCTGGTGTTAGAACTTCCCTCATGGTTTACAGGGCGCCAGCCCACCTTCTAAGGACCTTGGCCACAGACGAAGTACACGCACACACACACACACACACACAGTTGAGTGTTCATCGCTAGAGTACTTGGCTGGCTGATGTGTGCCTGGTTTCCCTTCATGTGCTACTCCTGCTTTGCCACCCTGGCTCATGTGGAACTATCGAGGGGGCACGAAAAGGACTGGAACACACTAACCCGAATTCTGGATTCTTGGGGTCCACAACCTAGCCAGTACGAGATGGCTCGTAGGTTTCTGGTTTGGGTGGAAGGAACCTCCTCAAAGGCAGTGCTGGGCACCCAGGATGCTCTGGATGCTGGAAGTTGAGGGGAGAGGGAGGCATGTGGGACTGCAGAAGGGGCCAAGAGACACACTGGAAAGGTGGTAGGTGGGACAGGTAAGTGGTAGAGGGGAGGGGATAGATTAGAATTAGAAGGGCAGCTGTTAGGAGTGAGGGGAAGGATATAGGGCACAGGGGGCAGGTAGAGTAGGACCAAGTAGTGAAGCAGTTGTTGAGTTGGGGTGAAGAACACGTGTCTCTGGGCCCTACTGCTTCCCTCTGCCTCAGGTAAGTCAGGGCAGCTTTCCTGAAGATTCAGGTCAGAAAAACCAGTTGTCCCATGGACAGGCCATGGGGTCCTGCTGGTTCTATAGGCAGAAACTTAGAAATTGGTTTGCATAGAGTGCTCAGCTCTTGTTTGCACAAGCTGGAATACACCAGAACAGATGAAGCCTATTTCACCCCCACTCTTCTGTACTACCACCACCTGCATGGCCAAACTGCAAAGAACTGCAGCTGAGGGTGGACCCCGGCAGGGCTGCAGCTGCCCTTTGTGAGGGTTAGAAGTCTACTCCACTCCCCCTCCCGGCACCCTAGCCACAGCCCAGACGAAACAGGCTCAGGCCCGGCCCTCTGGCCTGGGTTCCTTGCGATCCTCAGCCAGCCAGCCCCTCAGAGGAGGGAGCTACACTCCCGCTAAGGTTTGGAAGAAGGTGGCCGCCCTTTCCCTATCCCCACCCGAGCGTGGGGTGGGAGAGGGGGTCTTGTGGTCGGCCGGCGCCCGTCCCCTTCTGCATGTCTGAGGCCACCGGCAATTGCCGCCCCCCGACCAGATTTGCCCTGACCCAGTTTTGACCCCCCCCACCCTTATTTATAACTTTTATACTTTGTCCAGGCCGTGGCGCTTCCCTCTTCCCCAGGTCTCACGGGGCAGGGGCTGTTTTTAACTCGTCCGTTTGTATTGATGTATGAACTCGTCAATAAATACAATCATTTGTTAACTCTAGGATGCCAGCGAGTGGGGCAGGCGGGAGAAGGCGCGGCTTCTCACCGGTGGTCCGGTTAGCTGAATCCCGGCGCGCTGGGGGCGGGGGCGGGGCCCAGCGGGGGCGGGGTCTCTCGGGGCGGGGTCTTTAAGGGCGGACGCGTGGCCTAGCAGCGGCGGCTGCGTCATGGCGGAGGCGGCTATGGACGCGGTGCGGAGGGAGTTACGAGAATTCCCGGCCGCCGCAAGGGGTGAGTGGGTTCGCGCGGAGGCTGCGGCGGCCTCGCGTCGACCGCCCGGCAGCCCCAGGACGCGGGCGGGACCTTGGGCATGCGGGGAACCGGCGCCCCGAGTCGGGTGCGCCCTGACCCTCCTGGGCCGCCGACAGACACCACGGTTCCCTCTAGTTCGTGGCCCCAAGGAGCGCAGAAGCTCGTGCACCTGACTCCTTGCTGGGCCCTCTCCGATCACTCTTCTGCCCCACCCCCGCCCTCACCCCCGTGCTGGGTCCCCTGCTTCTCTGCTCCCGTGTCCTCGTGGCTTTCTGGGGTGACTCTTCGCTTTACTGCCAGGGCCCGGGCCAGTCTTCCCCCTGGTGTGTTTCCCGCAGTCAGCCCGTGCTGAATAATGGGGCAGTCTGTTGCCCTTCTCAGCCTTTCCTGTCGCTAAGTCTTAAGATGGTCGGATGCTCCCTTTCTGAATCCTTTGCTTGGAACGCTTGATTCAGGAACAGACTTCCCTGAGCTGGTGCAGAGCTTTGGGAGACTTGTAGGCAGCTGTAGAAGTAATCCCTGACTCTTCCCCTGCTTGTTTTTTTTTTTCTCTCTCCTCGATTCCGTCCTTCCCATTTCTCTTTTACCATTAATTAGCAACACGTGCACGTGGCTTAAAAAAACAAAAACGGATTTATGTGAAGTAAGCATTCCTCCCGTTCTAGTCTCCAGTTTACATCCTTCCAGAAATACTCAATTTATATCTACGCACACATACACACGCGTGCCTGTATAGCTCCTTCTGTATACAAGTGGTAGCCTGCTGAACACACTTTTCTGCACTATGTATCCTGAAGATCGCCCCATAGCCTTCTTCCCCAGTCTTTTTCACTCCTGTGTACTAGTGTGGTAATTTACTGAATCAGCCTACTATTGATAGGCATTTAGGTCATTTGCAGTCTTTCGTTTTGCTAATGCTGCAACGAATATTTTGAGCATCTCAATACTAAGCACCTCAATGTGTGCGGCTCTGATCAATGTGTTTAGGATATGTCACTGAATAAAACAAATGTCTGCCTTCATGGACCTTACCTTCCAGGTGAGGAGACAATCCTAGACACGCTAAACGAGTTAATTATACAGTAGAAGAAATGGATTAGAAGACAGATGTGGGAAGGAAAGTAAAGCAGAATAAGAGGTCTCAGGCCAGGTATGGAGTGGGAGGGCAGGTTCCAAGTTTAAGTAAGATAGGGTAGGTAGGCTGCCTTGATAAAGCAGCATTTGAGCACAGGCTTGAAGAAGGAGGGGAAGGGAGTGAGCCGCTCAGACATCTGAGAGAAGAGCCTTGCAGGTAGAGGGCACTGGGGCCAATGCCCTGAGGTGGGAGTGTGCCTGGTGTGTTCACGGAACAATGAAAAGGCCAGCGTGCCTGGAGCAGTCTTTCTGCACATGTGCGAGTATTTCTCTTGCTTAAATTTCTGGCAGAAGAATTGTCAGGCCAAAGGAATTGTTTGGATTCCTTTTGGAAATTCTCTCACATTAAAGCCTCAGGAGGGAGCAGTAGCTGTTCTCTACAGAAGTCTTTTAATTGGAGGTAGTGAAACTGAAATAATTGCAGAAAATGCAAAAGTTAAAAAACAAATGGTAGTGTCCACATATTTTAGGAATCCCAGTGAGAACAATAGGGAGATTTACAGAGTCCCCCAAATCATCTTCCCAACGTGACTGCGTTGGGCTGGCCTGACTGGGAAGGCCCTTTGCCAGTTTCCTCCCCCTTGCTCCCTTGTCTGCTTGGCAGGTTCCACTATACCTCTGGACAGCGAAGCAAGCACATGGGCCAGGTCTTTCCTTTTCAGTTTTCTTGGGCCCACCAGGGTCTTCCCACTTAGTTCCAATTTTTGATCTAAAGACATTTACTTTCTGACTGCAAAGTGAAGATGACCGGTATGGAGACTGACATGACAGATAGGGCATGATCTCGGAGATGAAAATTAGTGCAGTGGTTGCTGACTGGGGCCAAGACATTCAGGCTAGATCTCATGGATGAAACTAAAAAGCCAAGCCCTGTGTACCCTTTATAGAAGCCGGGAGAGAGGCATTCCAGTCTGAGTGAGCAGCAGGAACAAAGTTTGGCTCTACCTGAGAGTGTGGTAAGGGGCCGGCACCAGACAGGAGGAAACCAGACTGGAAAAGTAGGTTGGGCCTGATCATGTGTTGACTTGAATGCATGCCAGGGTGGACTATAATTTATAAACCATCAAAAGATTTTTTTTTTTTTTTAACTAGGGGTATGACAAGATGAGATTGTATTTTAGGAAGATGATTGGGGCCAGGGTAAGGGATGCTTTGAGAAAGAGTGGAATTAAGCCGAGGAAACCAGTTAGTTGACTGCAGCAACCAGCCAGCCAGGAGATGTTGGAGACTTTTCAACCATTGCTGAGCACCTGCTGTGTGTTAGGGACCATTCTAGGCCCTGGGGATACACCACTGAACAAGGCTTGCATCCCTGCCCTTATGGAGCTTACATTCTATTCTAGCACGAGAGACCAATGAACAGTTTTGCTAAGTGAGATACATAGTGTGTTACATGGTGATGAACGAAAGGGAGAGAGAAGGGAAAAAAAGGGAAGGGGTGTAGGGTTGTTGTGGACAGGTTCCAATTTAAAAGCATCACCAGGGAAGGAAGCCTCATTGAGGTGACATTTGAAGACCTGAGGAGGTAGTCTGAATGTAGATACTAGCAGAGGAAAGGAGGGGGTGGTTTGAGAGACCGAGGAGGTAGAATCAGTAGAATTTCGGGACCATCAGTAGGTGACCTGAGTGAAGGAGAAGGAAGAGCCAAAAAGAGTAGATTTGTGAGAGGTGACACAGGGCCACTATAGACATCTGCGCAGGTGGCATACTGCACAACCTGCATAAATGCACATGGTAGCACTGGGTGTCTGAGGGTGGTGATGCTATTCAGTAAGATCAAAAACAGAGTTCAGCCCTTACTTTTCCTCTTAGGGTTTTGTGTGGCAGCCTGTCTGCCCAGTTAGGTTGTAATCTTCTTGAGATGACAGTAGGATCATCACTTGATACCTCCACATGGGCCAAATCAAGTACTGAGTACATTCTGGGTTCTCATTGAGTATCACTGTTGGAGGGTGCTTTCCAGAGTCTTGACTCACCCACACCAGCCTATGGCCTTGGGGCCTCAGCTCTACTCATTCTGGAGTTCCCTGCCCTGCCTAAATGGCTGTCTTCCCTAATGGCTGGCGGGAGGTTGGGCACTACAGCGTGGGAAAGCTGAGGGTTCACCGTACAGGGCCGAACATGGTCTCAAGGAGGGTTTGGGTTTGGGGCTGAGCAGCATCCCCTGGCCCTGTGGGCTCTTACGGCCCAGCTTGGTGTGTTTGTGGGTGCTTCACTCTTTCTCCCTTAAATTTCCCTCATTCTTCAATTCCTGGTTGTCCAGGGTCCCTTGGTCATCAGTGGGCATTACCAGTGGTAACAGTGTGTCCTATCCAAGGAGGGCATCTCTTCTGTAGGCACTGGGGCACAACTGGGTGCTGTTGGATTCAGTCCCCTCACCCCCCCTCTTTCTCTCAGAGCTCTGTGTGCCTCTTGCTGTGCCCTACCTGGACGAGCCCCCCACTCCACTCCACTTCTACCGAGACTGGGTCTGCCCCAATAGGCCCTGCATCATCCGTAACGCCCTGCAGCACTGGCCAGCTCTGCGGAAGTGGTCCCTCCCCTATCTCAGGTGGGAGCTCCCCTGGGGGGTGTTGGGTGGTTCTTTGTGGTACCTGGGTATGGGCTGAAAGTCCTTTCCTCTAGAGCCACAGTGGGCTCCACAGAGGTGAGCGTGGCCGTGACCCCAGATGGTTACGCGGATGCTGTACGAGGGAACCGCTTTGTGATGCCTGCTGAGCGCCGCCTGCCCCTGAGCTTCGTGCTGGATGTGCTAGAGGGCCAGGCCCAGCACCCAGGAGTCCTCTACGTGCAGAAGCAGTGCTCCAACCTGCCCACTGAGCTGCCCCAGCTGCTGCCTGATCTAGAGTCCCATGTGCCCTGGGCCTCCGAGGCACTGGGTGAGTGAAGGTATCGGCCGGGCAGGGAAGAAATGGGAAGGAAGGAGTCAGCTCTGCTTGCTGCTTCTCCCTTTGTTGATGACTTGGCCCATACTCTTGGCCCCTCAGGGTTAGGAGCTATGCACTAAACCTTCAAGTCTCCAGGCCATGACTTTGAATTGAACTACGGAACATTGCTACCCTCCTTTCTCCCCCCCGGGCGGGGAGGCGCCTTCTGGAGCTCACCCTCTTCTTCCCCTTCCCCCTGTTTGCTCTCTGTGAGCCTCTGGTCCCCCCTAGGCTCTGGTCCAGCATCACTCTATGGTGGTTGTTCCCAGCCTGGCATTTGAGGATGGCCCTCTCTGACTTGCTCTCTTACCTCTGACCTACAGGAAAGATGCCTGATGCTGTGAACTTCTGGCTGGGGGAGGCGTCTGCAGTGACATCTTGTAGGTGTCAAAGGAATACAGAGGTGGGGGAGGAGGGAAGAGGAGTCCAGGAGTGGAAGGTTGGGTCTGGATGGAAATTAGACTGACTGTTCGCTAAGATTTCTTCTGGGATTCTGGGGTTTGGACATGACAGAGGGCCTCCCGATAGCTCAGGTTGGGGAAGGTCCCATGGCACTGGGGGTGGAGGGCACTGTGTCTTCTGGGTTTCTAGAAAGCTCTCCAAAGGCCAGCCAGGTCAGGGGTGAACTCAGGAGAACCCTGTTTGCTTGAATTCCCCTCTAGGTAGACATGAGCCCAGGTGAGCACCAAGTCCCTGGTGAGCAGAGATCTGAAATGCCGAATGCTTGCCCACCTCCTCAGCATCCCCTTGGGCCTGCTTTGTGCTCTTCTGTTATGCCATCTGTCACGTTGATCTTGGGTGCAGGGTCCTGAATGTGATCATCTGTCCCCTCCTGTGCCCTACCCCTCATAACCCTGGGCCTTCTTTGTATTGGCAGTACACAAGGACCACTATGAGAACCTCTACTGTGTGGTCTCAGGGGAGAAACGCTTCCTGCTACACCCACCCAGCGACCGGCCCTTCATCCCCTATGGTATGGGACTCAGCCTGCAGGGGCTGGAGAGCAGGTGGCCCAAGGTAGAGGGAGGGCAGCGAGGGCCCTGGGCGGGCTCGTGCACCTGGCCTGAGGTGTGGATGCAGTGTTTCCATTGCACTCAGGGAACAAGTGGGAGGAACTGAGAAGCCGTGGGCCATTTGAGTGTCCCCACACCTTTCTCTGGTTTCAGAGCTGTACACACCAGCAACCTACCAGCTAACTGAAGAGGGCTCCTTTGAGATGGTGGATGAAGAGGCCACGGAGAAGGTGTCTGCCTTGTTCCTGGGCCCTGGGGAGAGGGAAGGGTCAGAACCTGGTCTCTGAGGAGCAGGCACAGTAGAGTTGGGGAGATGGCACCTGGCTCTGAAAGATCCCTAAGTCTGGATCCTCCTAGTGCTGAACAGGGCAGGTCGTGTGGTGTTTCCCTCTGGAAGGCACAAGAGCTGGAGGGCCTGGGGGCTTTGGGCCTGCTCCCTGGCATCCATTGTGTCCCCAGGTACCCTGGATCCCACTGGACCCACTGGCTCCAGATCTGGCCCGGTACCCCAGTTACAGTCAGGCCCGGGCCCTTTGCTGCACGGTGCAGGCCGGTGAGATGCTCTACCTGCCAGCCCTGTGGTTCCACCATGTCCAGCAGTCCCATGGCTGCATTGCTGGTGAGGAGCTGCCCACAGGGCAGCTGGGCGATGGGTTGGGGAGGCAGTAGGTTAGGAGGGGGACCTTCATGCTCAGGTCTCCATTTTCCCCACAGTGAACTACTGGTATGACATGGAGTATGACCTTAAGTACAGTTACTTCCAGCTGCTTGACTCCCTTACTAAGGCCTCGGGCCTCGACTGATGGAGCCCTGGTGAACATTGCCACGACACCTGGTGGGAAAGGTCATGCCCTCTCCGGCCAGGTCACTTTCAGAGTGGCTGGCTGCCGACCCGGCTCGGCTTGGCTTGGGGTCAGCGTTGGAGAATTTGGGGAGGTGATCTGGAGGCCCAGGAGGTGCCAGACAGGTCTGGGTGTGGGCTCCCAGGAAGTTCCCACACAGGTGAGGCAGCAGCCTGTCCCGGAGGAGGCGTGGGGCTTCAGGTGCGGCGCCGCCTCTCACTGCCACCACGGCCTTGGGCACCTTAGCACCTTGGAGCGCTGGTGTCCTGCCTGGGAACTAGAGAAGCTGGTGTTTCCTACCCCACGGCGTGTTGTGAGCCCCGGAGAGAGAGCCTTAAGGACCAGAAGGGCTGGCATGGAAGGAAATGCGCAATAAAAGATGACCGTGATTCATGGGTGCTGAGACTCCCTCTCGAAGTTGCCTTCTGTGGTCTGGTGAGGGCTGGAAGGTTCAGGTAAACATTTCAGGGTAACTCTGATTGCGGCTGAGGGCTGGGTCCAGACCTGAGCCCGAGGACCTCTCTGCTGCCAAGACCCCTCTATCTGTGACAGCCGTCGCAGCCCCTCTCAGGGCAAGCGGACTGCACCGACTCGGCCTGTAAAGCTGTGGCGAGCTTTGCTCCGGCCTTGTGGGCTGTCCTCCAGCTTCGGGGCAGCTGGTGGGGTCTGGGGCCCCCAGGGTCACCCCTGCTTGTCCCACAACAAGGACAGGTAGGAGGGGACAGAAAACCCTGCCGCCCCCCCCTGCAGGGGGTCTCTGCACTCAGACTTCCTCCCTCCCTGCACCCACCCAGAGCTGGAAGAGCCCCCTTCCCCGAATGCCACCCCGAGGCCTCATCATCCCAGTCCCCCGGCTCCGAGGGTGGAGGCAGCCGCGCACGCTGCTTGGGAGGGCTGTTTCGTGGAACGAACCACACCCCTGCTGGCTTGTGACGGGCCTGGGGCACTCCCGTCAGATTGGCCAAGAGCTTCAGTCAGGACTGGGCATTCCTGTCCTACTGGCACCGGAGGTTGTGAAAGACCCTGCGACGGGGGACGAGGCTCTTCCACTTGCTGCTGCCCTGGGCCCACTCCCTGCTTTCTAGACGTCAGTGGCCCTTCTAGGTCCAGGCATGAGAGCAGGGCTGAGTGGGGTAGGTGCTGATGGCAACGGCTGCAGGGAATGGGTCTTCATGGGTGGTAAGCCCCCATCCCAGGGGTGTCTGAGGCGCCATATAGGTTTAAGGTTCCTCATTTCCTCGGCAGGTAGCTTGTCCTGGAGTGGGTGTGAGCCTTGGGTGGAGTGGAGGCGGTTGGGAGGGACCAGGGAGGAGCTTGGGGCCAGCTGGTGGTACATCACTGGCTCTGGGTTAAAAAGCCAGCAGTCCTCGGTCCTGCATCCACTGCCTGCCATCTGTGGCTCCTGAGGACGGACAGCTTCATGGCTCTGGTAAGACCTGCTAGGGAGCTGGGCCCCTACTCTGACGCTTGGTCCTCCTGGGGCCTGGTTAATGCTATTTCTTTTTTTTATTTTATAAAGACTTGTTGCTTTGAGAGTACGCACGCTTGTGGGGCGGGGGGAGGGGCGACAGAGGGAGAAAATCTCAAGCCGACTCCCCACTGAGCACGGAACCTGACACGTGGGGCCCGACACGCGGGACCCTGCGGCTGGATCTCACATGAGCCGAAATCAAGAGTTGGATGCTTAACCAACTGAGTCACCCAGGTGCCCCCCCCCCGCCCCGGTTATTGCTATTTCTTAAGGGGAGCTGTGGGTGTCTCCGGGTGTAGAGAGGGGAGTTTGCCTGCATCGGACCAGGGCGTCCTGCCCTAGAGATGGGCTCCAGGCAGAGTTCCTGGCCCCATGGATTGGGCCCTGAGAACTCAGGCTCCCAGGAAGTAGCTGCTCCAGTGCTCCCGACTCAATTGCTTGGAGCGTGGGGGCCCCAGAGCGGACACTGCCAGATGAATTTCCCCAGCCCTACCCCTGGACTCCAGCCATCAGGACCTTTCTGAGGCAGGGCTGAAGGCCAAAAGGAATAGTTGGTACAGGCTTCTCTGGCACATTTGTCATGGTTTATATCCCCAGATCCATGTTCGTGGGTTTGGATGGACCTGCCTGGGGACCCTCTTTAGCCTGACCTTGTAGCGCCTGAAGGACTTGAAAACCTGTGGGTGGTGTGAGCTGCTAACTGCTGTTCCTGCTCAAGCAGAGGGCCCATTTCCATAAATGATTCCTGGCCAGGGGTGGGGAGGCCGTCTGAAAACCAAGTCTGTGCTCTCCACTCCTGCTTCTCCAAATAGAGGGTTTGCTTAACTGGATCAGGCCTCCATTTAAGCTGCTTAACCAGGGGAGCAGCCCCACCAAGGGGCCCAAGGCCAGGCTGGGTCCTACCGTGCTTCTTCCCCTCCCTAGCCGTATATGCCCCCAGGCCTCCTGCCACCCAAGGCCAGCCTCCAGGCTGCTTAGCAAGGGTTAGCTGGGGATGTGGGGTGGAAAGACTGAAAGACACTCTAGTAGGAACTGGAAGCAGATAAGCGTGGGATTGAGAGCCAGCTTGGTCCAGTCCTGGCCCTAGACCTCCAGCAAGTGACTAGCCTTTCTCTGCTTCTGTTTCCTTGTGGGATGGGATATGATAAGTAGTCCCTACACATAGGGTGGTTGTGTGATTAAAGAAATTAACGTACATATAAAGCCCTTGGACCAACGCCGGCCTGGAGTGCTGGGTAGGTGTTGGCAGGCATCGTCGGGAGCTCCCGTAGCCGCCTTTCCATTCAGGACTCTGATGGGATGCGGGGCAGGGCTGGTCCCTTTGGTTCAGGATTAGTTCTGGATGGGTCACCCTGGCCTCTTTTTTGGGCTTGCCTTGTCTCCTTTGGGCTCAGCAGCCTGCAGCAAGCCTGTCCTCTCCGTCCTCTGCAGGCAAAGGTTCCTGGGACCTGCCTGCTCACCATTCGTGTCCTGCAGGCCCATGGCCTGCCCTCGAAGGACCTAGGTGAGTGCTGGGCCCAGGGAGGACAGTGGCATTGTAGCTGGGCTCCTCAGAGTGGGACAGGGCCAGTGGGAAGAGACTCTAGGGGTGGGCGTGCAGGGGGTCCTAGAGAGGGTGCCAAGAGGAGGTGCTGGGGGGAATGTTGGGTAGCACCCCAGCCTCTCCTCCTGCCTCCCGACCTAGCCCCATTCCATGGGTCTCTAAGCCTCCCAGGGCTGCCTGGGATGGAAGGTCATGGACTCTGGGCAGCTGGGCTGGGTGGGGCTGTTGTCCATCAGCGGGCACTGGTTCCTCCTTACCGCAGTGACCCCCTCTGACTGCTATGTGAGTCTGTGGCTGCCCACAGCCTCTAGCCACAGGCTCCAGACACGCACAGTCAAGAACAGCAGAAACCCCGTCTGGAATCAGAGCTTTCGCTTCCGAATCCACAGCCAGCTCAAGGTGGGCCAGGTGTCAGCCCCTGCCCTGCCTACTGTCCCTGCCAGCCCTCGTTCCGTGCCCTGGCCCCGCTCACCTTCCTACTCCACTCCTTCCTGCAGCTCCTCACTCTCTTCCCTTCCAGAATGTCTTGCAGCTGCAAGTCTTTGACCAGGATCTTCTGACCAGCGATGACCCCATGTTGTCAGTGCTATTTGACTTGGGGACTTTGCAGGCTGGGGACTTCCGCCGAGAGAGCTTCTCCCTGAACCCTCAGGCAAGGCTGTGCCCAGGGTAGCGGTGGGCCTTAGCTCTGGGAGGGGAGGTGCTTTGGAGGGGAGCTGGGCACATGGCCCTCTTTAGTGGCTGGTCCAGGCTTCCCCAGCATTGCAGAGGCCACGGGCAGCCAGGAGCTGCTGTCACTGAGGAACAGTCCCATCCCCGACCCTCTTTCTTGGCCCTTAAGCCAAGAACAGCTTTCTAGGAGCCACCCAGAGAAGGTGGACAGAGCAACCTGGAGATGGACATTGGCTCTCCCCCCTTTTGGGGCCCTAGGAGCCCCTGCTGGTGTCTGCATTGAAATCTACACACCCACTCCTCACCCGTTCTAACTTGCTGCTTTATTTCTCCAGGGTGAGGAGCGGCTAGAAGTTGAATTTCGGCTGCAGAGATTGTGAGTCAGGGGCGATGGGGTGATTTTTGTGTGGGAGTGTTTCTCGGGGAAGGACAGAGCCCAGCACACCCAGAGCTGACACCCTCCCCTGGGAGACACCCAGTGATGGTTGGGGGACGGGTGACCTTCCCTCCTTGAGGGGTGAGAGCCTGGAAAGCTGGACTTGCGATGAGGGTCACCGGTGGCTCTTTCAGGACAGACTGTGCTGAGCAGCTCTTCAGCAATGGCATCCTGGTGGTGAGTCCAGAACCCCTCCCTCATGCCCTCTTTCCTGGGCCTGAAGCATGGGCCCCCGTTGGGGATTCAGGGGTAGAACTGAGTTGGGGGGCCCTGGGATTTCAGTTCTTCAAGAGGATACAACCTCAAGCAAATGTTTGGTGACTCAGGGCCAATGTAATAAAGTGCTGAGGACCAAAACCAGGGTACTGGGAGGGTGGGGGCCTCTAACAGGAGGGGTGCGAGTCTGAGGGGCATTCTTAATGACTCAGGCCCGGGAGCTCTCCTGCTTGCATGTTCGACTGGAGGAGGCAGGGGACCAGAAGCGTAAGTCCCCAACCTACTGGGATAGCCCCTAGCCCTCTGCCCTGGTCTTCCCCTTTCTATGGGGACCCTGGATGGGACCTTCCATTAGCTGCCCTCAGCTCTCATAGGCAACAGTCGAGGTTAGGGGCAAATCCATGCTGGGACTCCCCAGGACTCGAGTGTGTCCCCTTAGTCCTCAGAGTGGCTGTGGTGGGGTCTCCATCTCCCATCCTGGGCCTTTGCCAGTCTTCCCTCGCGGTGGGGGGAGGGAAGTGCCCCACAGGCCCCTTATGTGAGACCGCCTTGGGCCTCTGTGGGCCAAGACCTTATTCGCAGCCTCTCTGCTCTGGTTCCCGTTTCCAGAGTCAGAGGGCAGAGTTCAGCTTGTGGTTCCTGGGTCCTGTGAGGGTCAACATGAGGCCTCCGTGGGTGCTGACCCCTTCTGCTTCCATTGCCCGGCCTGCTGGGAGCAGGAACTGGGTATTCTTCTGCAGGTAGTGTGCTGCTCCATCATATGAGGCGGGGCCTGCAGGGTCTTTCTCCCTCCTTCCCTCCATCCTTCCCTCCCCACTTCCTCCTAGCTGGTCCCTCTGCTTGTGCTGAGCTCCTCGCCCCATCACTTTATGGCGGAATCAGGCATCCTGGGAAGAGGGTGGGGTCGACGTTGGCCTCCTAGCCCTCTTCCTGCCGCTTTGTCACTCCCCAGGGCAATGGGCGAGGTCCTTGCTGGAGGGTCTTCTGAGGTCTTCTTTCATCCTCCCTGCAGGATGCCCCTCAAGAGCAA